TGTGACAGCTCAGTGAAGTGCCACGCTGGGTGGCACTCATTTGATCAAAATGATTAACTGATTATCATATATGTTGGTGTTAATTTAAAATATACTGAACCATGAACTATTTCAGCTCTATTTTTGTGTTGCACAGTAGCAACTACAGTGGGTAAGGAAAGTATTCAGACCCCCTTAAATGTTTCACTCTGTTATATTGAAAGAATAGTTATGACCATGTGATATTTCAGTTTTTCTTTTTTAATAAATCTGCAAAAATGTCCCACTGTAATTTCCGTACCCACTGTACATTCAGGTCAACTGTATGATAGCTCCCAAAGCTGTATAAAGATGAAACTCACTGAAAGATCACTGTTTCACTTTAATTTGTTCCATTGTATTAACCAGGACACAAACACACACCACACTATTCAGCTCCACAACCCTGAACTCAGTTTAGTCTTACTGTTGACTTTGAAGAGGCAGCGCTCTGTTGGGTTTGCATCATAAATACAAACACAAAAATAATATCACACTAGGTTCCGTTTCCACATGGATGAGGCGATAACAAACCTACCAGCTACTGCTGCTGATGTCTGTGTGTACTAGTGTGATTGGATTATGGCTGTTTACTGGCTTAAGAGAAATACAAGAAAGGAGGCCTTGGACCTTAAAGTGCATTATTCTGACATGTTGTTCACTTGTTGTGGCTCTCTGTTGGCCTCCTGCCCGTCCATCTGCTGCGCTAAATTAGCCAAAATCAGCCTTTTCTGTGTAAGATTGTAACACATTAAAGGAAAATCCTGAACAAATTAGTGGAAGCTTTAAAAAACCAGCAGTCTCTGATTAATCTGCTGATTGTGAAACATTTGGGGAAATGTCCATTTTGAATTTCCAAACTCAAAGGTGATGTTTTCAAATGTTTTGTTTTGTCCAATCAACAAATCCAAAAATACACAGTTTATTATCATGTATGAGGAGCCCTGTCCCTGTTCTGGAGAAACTTCACTATAAAGTCTGTGTTGATGTTAGTTTTTCTTTGGATTTGGCACCCACCTGCATCTAAAGCTTTTTTCTAACTGTACAATTTCTGACAATTACCATAATTGCTTGAACCATATTTGAGAAGTTAAAATGATCTCTAATCACCAATTCTGGATAAAATATTTAGGTCATTTATTTGGGTGAAAAGAGTAATTCGACCCGGGACATTTCTGTGTGGAGTCTGCCTGTTCTCCCTGTGCCTGCGTGGGTTCTCTCCAGGTTCTCTGGCTTCCTTCCACAGTCCAAAGACATGCAGCTTAGGTTGACTGGCGACTCTAAATAGCCAGTAGGAGTGAGTGCGTGTGTGTGTGTGGTTTGTTTACATGTCAGCCCTATGATAGCAGCTCTTTTTGTATGACGATAATTTTTACTGTACATGGCCTGTGACAAATAAATGTACTGTATTAAACTACACTAAATCTGCACTGTGATAAACATACCTGTATACACACACACACATACTGTGGCCTGCAGGGATAGTCGATCACGGTGGGACTTTGACAGTGTGTTGACACTATCGGTCCTTCAGTGACACGTGGACACTCACCAGCTAATGCAGTTGATATTCTGTACTCATGCTGCTGATCGAATATAAGTCTAAAACAGGATGACACATGAGCCCCTGCAGACACTGTGAACTGTTCTCAACTTGAAAGGACAAATGCAATTACATACTGATAGTGTGTGTCCTAATACTAAGAATTAGATGTAGCTTTCTTCTCCGTTTGGTGGGACTTTCCAACAGCACTGAGTCATAAGCCAGATACCTTTGCACCAGATTCCATATTTATCTTTGAGCCAGCTGACATGCAGGAGCGCTCCACGTGCCCACACCAACAGTTTCCTCTGACTATAGCCTATTACAGCAGGTCAGGGTTTAAAAAAAGACTGACCCATGAACTGAGTTTCATTCATTCAAACTATTATCTTGTGCCTACTTTCACCTATAAACGTACCTAATTAACCAAACAGTTCACTACTGCTGTAATGGTTTTCATTATCACTTAATCTGCTGATTATTTTTCTGTTTATAGTTTGGTTTACAAGAATGTTAGAAAACAGAGCAGAACCCAAGGTATTACCTTCAAACGTCTTGTTTAGTCCAATCAGTTACTAAATACATACAGCTAATTAATATCATGGTTGACTAGGAACAGAATGAAATGATCACATACGAGAAGCTGGACATGGCAAACGTGTGGCAGCAGGCCTGACGCTTGCCAAAGACCACTGTGACACTCCACAACACCACTGGGAAAATGTCCTGTGGGAAGATGAAACGAATGTAGAATTGTTTGGGAAGAACACACAGTGCTATGTATGGTGTAAAAAGAGAACCCAACAGAGATGCTGTGGAATGACCTCAAGACGTTCAAACAGACATCTTAAGAATATGGCTGAGTTGAAGCAGCTGTGTGAGGAAGAACGGTCCAAAATTCCTCCTTAACGTTGTGTTGGTCTAATCCACAGCTACAGGTTACAGCTGCCAAAGGTGGTTCAACCTGTTATTAAAACACTGTTGCTGTTACTTTTTCCACCATCACTTTGTATGTTTAATGGGTGTGTTCAATAAAGACATGAAAGATAACGACTGTTTGTGTTTTATCATCTTAGAAATATTGTGTTTGTTGATATTTGTGACATTGGTGAAAATCACATTTCATGACCAATTCATGCAGAAATCCAGGAACTTGCAGTCACTGCCATTACTTTTTCTTGCCACAGTAAATATTCCTGGACTTTGCTCTTCACCCTGTTCTGTGACTGTTGTAAACAGAAACCTTGAGAACCTGCTGGAGACTATATGAAAGATTTGTGTCTCCCAGGTCAGGATCTTTTGTAGTTGGCCAGGGTCACAGGACATTTATAGACACTTGTCCCTCTCTGAGTCATTGCCAGGAACGGGGCAGCATAGAAGGTGGGGAGGACAGGACTTTGTGAATGACTGGAGTTGCTGAAGACATAAATCACATTTTTGGTCCTTTGCCAAACTATTTGTCCCAGAATGTAGCTCCAAAAACACTACCATTTGAAAGTATGGGTTCACCTCCACCTTCCCAGTTGTTATTACTGTATTTCAGCAGCTGAGCGCACCTGTGGCATTCTTTGTACAACAGACATCAAATAAAATAGACAGCACTGTTGCAGAAGTTCCTACTGTATGTTAAGCTGTGAAAACGGGTCCTGGAAGAAGAAGAAGCCAAAGGAGGTGGTAATGAAAGGTCAGAGGTCACTGAGACAGGAAGAGCTACAGGAAGCTATAAGACAAATTGTCTCTGCAAATACAGGTCCCACAGAAACAACAAGAAAACCTTCAGGAGATATTGGACTGACTGCTATTCAAACAGGCCAGAAGAAGATGGGAAGGTGTCGCCTGATCCAGGGGAAAATAGACCCATGACAGAAAGTATCCCAGTACAAGAAGACGAGTACATGGACGAGCTGAAGGTAAACTTGTATTCTGAAGGTAGAAGGAGGTACAGTAGCTTCCTAAACCTGCAGATTCTTATTATTTTGGGAGGATTTTGTCCTGAATTAATAACATGAAAGAAGGGGATCTGCAGGAAACTCTGTTCTCAGGTTCATGGTAGTCAATTACTGAGGGAATATCCCAACAGATGTGTTGCACTTGTAGGTTTCTTTGCTTTTACTCTTCAAGTCTGGACACTCTGCTGCATCAGTTGTCAAGGCTTCATTAACCTCCGCTGCTGCAGAACAAATGGAAATTAATATGTTATATGGTCACTGTTTTGACCCGAACTGTTTACTCATCAATACAAACTGGAACAATGGGGGTGCTGTGAAACTTTTATCTGGTCGTGTTCAGTCCTGCAACTGTTTGGCTTTCCTGTTTAAATAGAAAGATTATCTTTTGACAGAACTGCCCTAAGCCAGACTTTGTTCAGTCTATTCTTAGCTTTCAGGGTACACATTTCAAAATGTTCCCTGTTTTCTGTGTTTCACAGAAAAGTCACAGAGCCAGTGCACTCATTGATCTTTCTGACAGTTACCTGAAATGCATGACATGAACAGTAACACAACTATTTTTATGGTCCAGTATGATGAGGAATTGTTCATATTACTTAATCATTATTTGTGGAATAAAATATGAAAACATGTTTTGACCTAATTGTATTAAGAAAGTTTAAGGTTGTTGTGATCTCCTACCTCTGTAACTCTTTTCCATAAGGTGCTGACCTACATTTACACTACAGCGTGGCGTTTTGTAAACTCTATTAACAGGAATCATATCAAAGCTAAACAGATTAGGTCTGTTAGGTAGGCTGCATATTCCATCACTGCTTTTCAGATGAAGAGAGGTAACAGTGTGTTCCTGGAGACTGAGGATCACGAAAACCACATTGTTTACGCAATGATAATAAGACCAGTGGTGGAAAAAGTACTCAGATCCTTAAGTAAAAGTAACAATACAACAGTGTAAAAATACTATTTATAAGTAAAAGACCAGTATTCAAAATGTTACTTAAGCAAAAGCACAAAAGTACTAAAAGTAAAAGTACTAATTATGCAGAATGGCACACTTCACATTATTGTATTATAATTACTGATGCATTATTGTACATGACAGCTGGTGAACGGGAGCTAGTTTTAACCATCATATATGCATTTAATCTGAATTACTGCTGTGTAGCTTGTGAATTTTCCACCATAAACAAATGATGTCTTATAAATATACTGTATTTTTTTTAATCTGGTTATTTTTCTTGTTATGAAGAGCAAGTAGTAACTAAAGTTATAAAATAAATGTAGTGGAGTAAAAAGTACATTTGCCTCTAAAATGTAGTGATATGAAAGTATGAATTGACAGAAAAAGAAAATACTCAAGTAAAGAATGTCAAAATGGTACTTAAGTGCAGTACTTGAGTAAATGTATTTAGTTACTTTCCACCACTGGATAGGACTATGTTCCTTTTGGTCACTTGTCATCTAAAGATAATACTAGCTATATAGAAACAGTTAAACACAGTGGGAGTACTGACCCCAAGTATTTATTATTATTAACAGTGTCAAGTCACAAGAACAGTAAAATGAAGAACTTCTTACACATTTTTTTTTTTTTACATTTGGTCATAATAAAAACATACTATACATATGCAAATAGAAAAAGCACACGCTATTTACTAAAGGTAAAAAAACAGCCTCATCATCACCGATGTCATCTCCAGGTCTGGACTATGTGATGGCAAGCTGAGGCTGAGGGAAGGTGGGGTGCTGGCAGGGGAGGCTAGGAGGAAGCTGGTGGAGGGGTCAACAATTCAGACTTCCTACTTTCAATGCCTTCACTGAGTTCTTTGTTCAAAGCCATTTCCCTGGCGATGCAGGTCACCTGTTCGTTGGCCACTGTGTAGGTTCTGTTCCTGCAACATAGAAGGGATGTTGTGTCATCCAACAGGGTAAAAGCATCAAGAGAAAAGCTCCTGACTAACTCTGCTCATATATTACGGCACTCACTTTTGATTTTCAGATCCGTTCTGCATGCCAGGCTGGTTCTGTTTTGCAAAGAAAAATGAAGTCCACCAGTGGCCAGAATCTTGCCTTGGAAGTCCTGCAACAAACAAAGTAAAATTTAAAAGGACTCATCATAGTGTCTTGTCACACTTTCAAAATAAAACATTTTTCATACCTGGATGGTGTGGGATGACCTCTCCAATGTGCTCAGCACTGCCACAAGAGCTGTTGCTGGAGGCTGACCCAAGCCGCCCTGCAACAAACATATGGTACATTTCCTTTAAATGAACAAAGAACATCTTATCAAAGACAGGACAGGCTTCCACAGTGGAAAGAATTTTCAGTGTCCGATGCAAAATGAAAGCCAAAGATGTCTTCTGGCATTTTTGCCATTCACTGAAATGAATACGATATAAATGCACATAGACCACATCTGACTCACTTCTGTAGTAATCATGGGTGGCGATGAGAGAGCCACTTGCTGGAATTGCTGCCATTTTCTCCGACCTTAGATGGAAAACCGCTAACAGCTGGAAAATATGACACAGATTGGATTTAAAATAGGTGCTACTATGTTTTCACCATCATTTCATATCCTTACACTTTATCATATTGGTATGTATTGTTGAACTATCATTGCATTTTCTTATTATACAAAGCAACATGTGCAAGCACAGTGCTTCAGCCAGAACTCCAGTAAAGATCCTGCAGGCGTTTGCTGCATGCATGCCCTACAGTCCTTTGCTGCAGTGAAAAAGGAAGCAGCTGCTTCTGAGAATCGTGTTTCCCCCGACTCAAATTACCAGAGTGTGAATGAGAGCACGTCCATGTCCAGCTCAACTTGAATAATGTATAGCACGAACTAGCTGCGGGGTCAGACGTGACTGGCCAAAGACTGTATTAGTGTTCCTGTCAGAGGATATATATGTGGTGCTGGTGTTCACTGGCTGTTGAAATTATAGATGGCTCTAATTATAACTTTTTTTTGCATCTGGCATTCATAAAGTTGGGTAAACATTCAGGATTTCTCATCAGTGCAAAAAAATCAAAGTCAAAGTCAAGTCAAAGTCAAAATGTGTTGAATATTGAGAATAAAAACTAATTATGTGTGTATGTCCATCCATCCATTATCTGTACCGCTTGCAAGGGTGCTGGAGCCTATGTGTGTATGTACATTTTGTATTTTATATGCATTTCAGACCCTTAAAAGAATGTGTTAACAGCCTGGAGCTTGAGAACCAGCTGAAGGCTGTGCAGCTTAACACCTGGTGAGCAGCAGATGGCTTTGGGGATTTCACGGTGCAGACAAATAGCTTATACCTCTGAACTTCATAACCTGAATAAAGCTGCAACTGAGGCACAAACACAGATACTTGCTACTGTAGTGCTTATAAATATGTAAGTGAGCTTGTGTGGCAGTGTGAATACAGCGGACGTGTGTCATCGTTATATGATACAAAGCATTCCAGCACCATGCTGCAAAAACTCCATTTCTGTTTTGTGAAGAAGACAGGTGTCTTGAAACAAATGTGACGGAAGTCTCTCCAGGTACTCTGGCTTTGTCCCACAGTCCAAAGACATGCAGCTTAGGTTGACTGGGGACTCGAAATTGCCAGTAGGAGTGAGTGTGTATATGTGTGGTTGTTTGTCTACATGTCAGCCCTGTGATAAACTGGTGACCTGTCCAGAGTGGACCCCGCCTCTCACCCAGTGTCAGCTGGAATTGGCTCCATTACCCCCCCTAGATCCCATTCGATAATAGATGGATGAACTGCTGTAGTAGCTATAACACTTGAAAAGAAAGCTGGCAGAGGCAATTCAATTTATGGTTAAATACAAGAGAGAAGAACTTTTGATGTTATAAAACAGTGACCTACCTTTAGGATAAGGATACTGTGGTTGTAAGGTGCGGACGGCTTTAAGTAGTGTAGATATTAGCTGTTCCAATGGCACATCTGTGGATAAATCCTCTACACAGAGCTCTCTGATCTGCTACTGACACCGTTCAGGGCGCTCACCACCGCCTTTTATAGGGTCACAGCGCGTGCTGTTGTTTCAAGGGGCGGGGCTTTGACAGCTCGAGGGCGGGGACTCTGCGTCACCAGACAATAGGAGGGGAGAGGTTTTAGCATAATACATTCAGAGGCTTTACCAGTTGATGGCCAGACTGCACGTAATCACACTTCAATGTTACTGTAGTTTGCTGAGTCCGCCTTGGAGCTACATTTATTCCTAATGCAGATTTGCAGCCCATATAAATAATATGACCTACATAAAAGAACTCTGCAGCGCTATAAATTTGTTGTGCTCTCAAGTTTGTGAGTAGGGCTGAACGTGTTTTATTTTGTTATAAATCTTTCATTTAAGTGTGAAATTGTACTTTTAGCAACTGCCACGTGTCCGAGATTCTTACAGAGATTCCTTTATATCTGGCTACATTTTGAAATCAAAGAAAGCCTCGTGAAAAGCTATTTAAGTAAACTCTTCAAACCAATCGATGAAATGCTCATTCTGAAAGTTACATTTCCTGCAGTGGACCACAAGTAGCTAACGTTAGCAAGAAGTGGCCAGTTATGGCAGCCTACGTTATATAGTCCACGTTAACTGACTTACGGCGTTTCAAATGGGAAACGGATTCTGTTTTATGTTGGTGTTATCTGTTGGTTAGCTAACTGTTGTACCATTGAAGGTACTAAATGGAATCATTAAGTGTTGACGATACACTACTATGTCCTCTAATGCCCTTCAGACTGTCTCCCTCGTGGTCTAGTGGTTAGGATTCGGTTAGGATTTTCCACTTTTTTTTGCTGTTCAGTCCACCTCTTTCCGTGACTTTGGTGATAGTTTGAGCTAACAGCAAGAGGATAGCTTTCCCAGTGCCGTAATTTTTACATGTTCCAACGGTGTATAAAAAAGAACAGCAATGGTTGTCACTGTATAATTGTTGTACCAGTGTTTTTGCACTAAACGTAGAAGCCTTCATAAGTGGTACCTGAGATATCTCATTGTATTTTCTAGAGGATTTCAGCTAATTTATGTGGGCAATTTATAAAGACGCCTGCATAGTTTTTACATGTTAAACAAATTACTACAAGCTCAAGGGTAATACACTTTGACCCCTCTAGCGCCCCCCTAAGACTATATATAAAATGGTTAACATGAAGCCAATGAGGCACCTCTGACAGAATGACTGTAGAAAATCAAGAACACTGAGACAAATACATGAAACGGCCATGTATGGTCATTAATGACATAAAGGCACAACCATTCAAATGACTTTAACTGAAAAACCTTAAAATACAAAAATACTGTATGTTAGTGATAATCTGCTTTGTAAATGTTATAATTACTGTCAGTGAATGCTACTGCAAGAAATTCAGCTTATTTCACCAGATATGTTTACTGTACTCATGTCAAAATCCATAAATTACATTTAGGAAACACACTGAAATATTACATATTAGAACTTACATTGATATTTGAAGTTAAAATAAGTCTACATTACAAATGCAATACATTCTATTAGTCATTGTGTATTAACTAACAGAAGTAAGAAATAGAATTGGACTAATTCACACAGACAAAAGTGTGAAATGACAATCTTTACAAGGTATGAAATTAGTCCATTGGTATGTTGTCTCATGTGCTGTGGTTTCTCTGAAAACCAGATGTGTCTCCATTATTTTTCAGACTTCCAGTCAACTTGTCCTGTGTGAGTCAAAGAGAAAACAAGCGGTCAGTGCCTATACAGTCAGAAAACAGTATGTACTACAGTATGTGTCTGCTGTTTTGATAAACTCATCTTTACATTTCCAGATTTCCTCAAAAGACTTTAGTGTAGAAGAGTGTATATAGAGAAGTGTGAGTGAAATTACACAGTACACATTTTTTATATCATAACTTGCTGAACCTAAATTCCATTTTTGTTTAATCTGACAGATACAACAATAAGCAGTAAACAGGAATTGCGGAGACCATCAAGGTGTTTTTACCTCATAGTGGGGACACTTATGGTGCGGCTCAGGGTGCTGGGTAGGCAACAGAAAGAAAGGGGTCTTAGCATTGACAAGTTTGACAAGTAACCCATAAAAACAGTGCACAACTAGGAGATGTTCTGAATCTTTTTTACAATGAGAGAGTGAGGTGGCACTCTCTCTTGCCACTTCATTCAAAACTGTTCATCCTAACACAGTAATTGTGTGGATACTGCTGACTCAGCGTCCACACAATTAATATAGGCTGATTTTTATTTAGAATAAATCTACAACTTTGCCCCCAAAATCTATTTTCATAATGTGTTGAAGCCTCTACACACCATAGTCCCACTGCTGAGATCTTCTGAAACAAATAACTGATAGAGTCCGACAGAACGGTGAACAGCAG